CCCCCCAATATTCTTTACGTTTGAAACATTTAACTTAACGGGGTTTTTTCCTCGGCAAAGTACTATTCGGCCATCTTTCTTCCGTAATCAACGGTTTTTAATTGTAACTAGTAAGCGTTTGGTAGTACAGAAGCGTCTGGACTCCACCTTGGTCTACTGTATGGTAAGCGTTTTAAGGCGCTAAAAACACAGTAATGATCATGTAAGCGCCATGTCCCTCTAATTAAGTAAGTTATCTTTCTCTTCGATAACCAGATCCTTTGCCGAATGATTTTGACTTATAACATCAAAGCAAAGTTTCTTTCCACATCCAGCCTCCAGGCGTGGATAGTCTGCGCTGCCGAATTGTTAACACTGAGTGCACAAGTGAGTCCAAATGGGGTATTTTGCGAAATGGTTATGGTAGTGTTTGCCACAACCATGAATGAAAAGCTGTCTAGTCCCGACTGTCTGACCAATTGGCGTCATGTTCATGTTAGGTTTTGGTGTTGTTGTTGTTGTTGTTGTTGTTGTTGTTGTTGTTGTTGTTGTTGTTGTTTTTTAAGTTAGATCTATGATTCAGAAAATAGATTTTAATGACGAGAATAGTCACCAGTATTGGTGAGTATAGTGTAGTAGGTCTAGGTGTGAAGAATGCGAAAAGTGTGTTGGAACAAGAGGCAAAACTGGAGTTCACACAAGCAGTTCAGTCTTGGTGCGGTAGGTAGGTCTACAGTATGTTATCTCTGTTTTCCCACTATTAATTTGTCGGGCTCGGTTTGGGCTTTGACACAACTGTCCACTATAAAGTAAAATATCAGTGTGTTCTCTTATTTTTACCTCAACGTACGTTGGCCAACAGTTTTGTCTTAGTGTAGTCGTAGATTTACGCTTAGTGGAGTCGTAGATTTACGCTCTTCGGTTGTTTGAGGACTCCACTGGTTTGTCTTATTTCTGTTCTGTCTGCCTGTTGTTCTCTCTGTTTGCCTTGCTTTTACCCTGTAGTATGCTTCCCGGGAAGCTGAGAATGTTTCGGAGTGTTCTATGGTCTGCTGGGGTAATAATATAGTGTAAAGCGCATAGAGCCTGCTGCTGAGCGGGGATATGCGCTATACAAATGCTATCTATTATTATTATTATTATAGTTAACAGATCTATATTTACAAGAAAGAAAAGAAAACAAACAAAATAAAACCAAAAACCAACAACAAACACCCCCCCCCCCCAAAACCCCCCCCCCTCCCCCCCCCCCCCAGTTTTTTTAGGCAGAAGTTATGATTCCCGAGAGGGAAGCATAAGTTTTAAAAATCAGCCAAGCCTATCCCCGTCTTCCTGGTAGGATATTGTATCCCACTCACCCTTTTTAATCTTATGTGTCGATGGAGACGTAAATCATTAACGATACAAGCTAAACAAAAACAATAATTTAAAAAAGAAAAACATCCCCCCCCCCCCCAAAAAAAAAACCCCCAAAAAATAATAATAAACTAATAAAATTTAAAAACTTCATTATAAATTGAATGAGTTCAGACACAGTGCAGACGCAGTGCGGAAAGTTCCCATCTTGTGTCGACGTAGCCATAATGCGTCATCGGTTTATGTCTGCAGACGTAGAATTGTTTCGCCTAATGAACATCCTGTGGCCTGAAAACTGACAGTGTTAACCAAACACGCAAAAATAATTGAGGGGTAAGAAGGGAAGGAGTTCCTCCAGTAAGAAGGTTTCAGGTCCATTATAAATTCGGAGTAAAACAGACGGCTTTCACATCATAATTAACTCCTTTGTACTTTGTAGATTCCAGTGTCCTATGAAATGCATTTATCGCTTCCTAATAATATTATATTATCATAGATAGTCTATCTAGATAGATCTATATCTAGATATAGCTAGATATATATAAGTTGGTCTACTGTATGGACAGTTGACAGTACTCTAGATTCTAGATATTCTAGATTTAGATTGTCTAGATTATAGATTATATCAATTTCTGACCGTCCAATGCCACATTCTATTAGCACTTCCCAATTTAAACCAGATCTGTAAAAATGTCTTCGTCATTCTTAGCAACAAAAGGGATTAAAACAGCTTCTACTCTAGACTCTAGTCTTATCATGAAACGGAGAAAACTAACATCCTCAGAACGCCACAATAACAAGTTGCAATTCACGACTCTGGGCCCTCAGCCTTTCCCTGGCCCAACCATAATCCCTTCGTATCCTGTTCATGTCAAACGCCATATTCTAAACATTGAACTTTACAATGGGCTCACGTAAAAGTTACTAACAACCATAACCCAACCCAACCCAAGCAACAGTCGGACCCAACCAAACCCAGACTCAAACTAACAGTCATTGAGTCGAACGTTGCTCTTTATCTTTACATGTAATTGCAATTCTTTTACGGACAGCCCCATCGTCACAGTTTTCATCAAAACGAAGGCGGATTGCTTCGAAATTGCCTGTCAGGGTCAACCCGGGCTGACAGAAGTACAACATTTCAGCAGACAGACGGACATATTCAGTCAAAAACGAAACCAAAAAAAAAAAGCAAAATAACAAAAACAAAACAAAACAAAAAGCAAATAGATACAAAACAAAACAAAATCACACAAGGAAATAGAACTCGCGTCTTCTGGGTGCCATGGCAAAGACTCCAAAGACACCGATATGTTCTTCTTTTCTCAGACCATCAAAGGAGCCTGGCCTGACAGTTATGGCGGCATAACTTCCCAGGGACGTCCCAGACAGATGCAGCACACACAAGTCATGAGCACTTGACTGTGCTTGACTGTGGTGGACACCCTTTGCGGCTATTTCGGTCTGCTTGCTTCTCAGAAGCATAGAAAAGTCAGGTCCCTAGTGGATTTTTATCGGCAGCGGTGTTTGTTTGTTTGTTTGTTTGTTGTAGGGTGGTTAGTTTCATTTGCTTTTTTATTATTTTGCTTGTTGTTTTTAGTTTTTTCGGGGGGGGGGGGGGGGGGAGGGTGGCTCGTGATTATCAAGGCCCCAATGTTGAGGAGGTAAGCAAGTCTTTCTTATAAACGCATTACATTGTTCTTTGTGAATTCCCAGATGTAAACTCTTGCGTTAACGATAACTGTAATTAAATTATTGTCGTCTTTTGACACCCGATAACGCTTTCTTTTGCCAGTATTTGCTATCATTTAATGACACTGTTATTATTGTTGCTGCTGCCGTTGCTCCCATTGCTGTTGTTGTTATTGCTGTTATTAATGTTGCTGTGGCAACTGTTGTTGATTTGCAGTAGGTCTATCATGAAAATGATACTATGTTACGTCAAAAAAATAACCAACAGTGCATTGTATTTTGACTAGATTACTGGGGAAAAACGTATTCTTAATTTCTCTTTCTTATTTCTTCCATCCCTTGGGCATTTAGGAAAAGATGGGGTTGAACCCCGAGTTTTCTCAACTCTGTGACCTGATGCAACACCTGGACAAACAGCTTGCCAAAACTCTGAGTTCAAAAGAAGTGAACTCTCCTAACAAGAGCTGGTGTAGGAGCGACAACAACAGCAGCATGCTGGAGTCTGCAGTGAAACAGGATCGTAAGTACCCGGGCAACTCTTGCCTCCCCGGAGAACGGAAGGACAAATCTGAACCCTCCTGGGCTTCACTTCTGTCTAGCCCGGGCACAAACGCTTTGAAACGAGGACCTTCTCAAGAGTCTCTCTGCTCGAACACCCCAGTTAGCGGAAAACCCACACTGAGCAGCATCAACTTTCGGCTGAGACGCCACCGCAGTAATCCTTCCCTCTCGGACATCAAGACCGAGTATCCGAGAGCTGGAATGGGGGGCGTCTCCCCTCACCCCAGCCGCAGCGAAAGCAGATATCATTCACCTTCTTTTAAGGTAAACCTCGGAGAGGACAATCATTGTCAAGGGGACTACTCGCGATTACATCGATCAACAGCTCGAGATAACTCGTGTAGGAGGTCAGTCGATCCCCTCTCGGGTATGTTCTTGTTCGGATCAGCAGGCTCTGACGTCGAGCGTACGCTCAGAAAAGGTCGACGTCAGCAATTATCAAACTCCTGCGTTGCTGCCTCAGTACCTTCTTCTTTCAACGCGTTCCAGCAGCGGGCTCAGAAGATTGACAAGACGATCAATGAACTCCTGGAAGGCCACCACTCCTGGCAATCTACGTCATCGATCAGCGTGTCGTCTGCTAGTGCTGGTGGTACGCCCAAGAGGAGAAACAGCTGGGCGGAAATGTTAGACCAGTCCCAAAACAACGAGGTTTCTCCCCTTCAAAAAGAGGAAGTCAGAAAGCATGGGTCTCCGGTTGACCCTGTCCTCCACAGTCGAATGCCGTCGTTGAGGTACACCTCGTCCACAGCTCTCTCTGGCCTCACGTCAAACACAAACAGAAGCTCCTTCCTCCCGGGAACCAGATCGTCTCCTAGCCTCGCAAACTTCAGCCCGCACGCCATGATGAGTGTGCCTATTTCACAAACATCTACAACCAGCATGGATAGTCTGAAAAAAGCAATCTCCAGAAGCAGATCAATCTTAGGGGACAACAACCTCGCCCGATCTCAGTCTTACCTGTTCGGGAAAGTACTGGGACTTCATAAGGGCAGTTACGTCCCTCCTGCATCCGTCAGCAATGCTGAGATTCGGCCCAACACCTTAAGGCTCGCCGCCGACAAAAACACCGCGTCGGCAGATAAGAATCCGGGCCTTGATGGCTCGCTGTACTCTTCCTTGTCTAAAGAGAAGAAGAGGCTTCAGAACATCGACAACATCATCAACCAGACGCCTATGCACGGCCACAACTCACGGACGGCGTGGAAACTGCCCGCCTGGCTGATGGACAGTGAGACGTACCGCTACTCCCGACTCAATCAGAGGCGAGCCACGTCTACAGGAGACATGCTTACCTTGGGGAGGTCTTTCACCAGCATTTCTTCTACGCCGGATAGCTCCAGGTAAGTTAATTTATTTTTCACTCTGTAGAATTAATTGTTGAGAGTGGTTGTTATTAACGCTTTTGTTTTTGTTTTTTTAATACCCCCCCC